CAGAAGCTGTCTTGAGCTGATTGTGACTGTAAGAATTTGGACAATACCTATATAGCTGAGCTAGGTTACACTTGAACACATTTTACTGCTTTCCACCTTCTTGTCCAACTAGAATCAGTCAATACCAGAAAGCCTAATATATCTAGAATCATCTTTCTTAAAAAAGGGTAGAATCAATACAATATGTTGTCATCTATGAAACACTGACTATCCAAAATACCTGAACATTGTAGTTGTCAAACTATGGATTAAACTGAGAACATGCCTGCAATGTGAGGCAAAAAGCCATTATTTTGAATATCCATCCCTTAGGCCAATAACTAGCACATTATTATTTCTAACACTGAACTAAAGATATTAAAGTTTCCAACCCCCTTTTTTTTTCCTGAAGGGTCATTGCTTATCCCCACTAATTGCTTAATTGCTTTTCAGCCCTAAATACTAATTAAACCAGCAAATAATTTTGCTATCTAACAAGACAGGAATGCACTCTATACTTCCGTTTTTCAATACAAAAATGTACTGAATGTTAGTTCAGTAACTAGGATAGTTATCTGACAATTTCTTTATATCTGCTGTACACTTTGAGCTCTCTGTTTATCTATGGGTGTGAATTTGTTCTGTGAACATTTGAAGAAAGAATATATGCAAGACAGAATGGAAAAAATCAACTACTTTTTCATCCTTCAACATTAGACAGGAGTGAACTACACATTGACACAACTCCAGTGTTTTACCTGTAGGAACAAAGAAACACTATGGCTAAAATTAAGATATTCACAGTCAAGATTCTTTGTGCTACCCAAAATCAAAACAGCCAAGATACTATTATTCAGTTAGCTTCAGCGATAGAGCAGCCCTACTGCAGATGCACAGCCTTAGTAGTTAAACCTTCACAGCTCAGAATCATTTGAGGATGCAGAGATGTTCCGATCTGCTTTGCAGAACACACTAGGATACAGTCAGACCTCACCTTTTGTTCACTTGTTTCAAGTTTTTTGTTTGTATTAACCATTACAAATATTCCCCTTTCTTGTGACTTCTCAGTCAGTTACCAGTGTTTGCACATACTTTCACTGCAGTACTGAGCAAATGCAGCACAATGTGTTGGCTAGTGAATTACAATACTCATTTATAACACAGGAGCTACATTCAGCTATTTTAATTCCAGTTAGTTATCCATTAGACCAACAGCCACAAGATGAACCATTTGCAGAGATTAAAAAACCCCACCATCTTCCAATGTTCAGCACATCAGTCTATTTTAGTCAGTATCTGTTACAAAACATGAGAACTTAAGCCGACTTTTAAGCAGTGTGTCTTATAACTATGTATTTTTCACAAAAATATAACCTCTGCCTTTCTAAATACCTCTACAGATCTGTGGAAAACAGCGGTCCAATCAGTCAATATGTTTTAAAGAAAATTCCATAAAAATACCACATCTAAAAGATCAATATACTCATCTTTGATTGGACCTAAAATTAATGTGCAGTCAAATCTGATTTAAAAAGTCTGACTAAAAAGACAGAAGGATTGAAATATTTACATTATACACATTTTCCAATTACAGTGCTATTAGAAAGTGGAATGTTTGAAAATTAAAACATTAACTAAAGCCTCACAGGGAGGCTCCAGGCCAGAGCGGCATCTTCATTCTGTGTATTTTTTGAACAGGAGAGAGTTCTCGTTAACATTTTTCATGTGTAGATTATTTCTCTGCCCAATGATCTGTAGAATTATGCTCCTGAACTACCATCATGTCCCACAAAGTCATTAAGTTAAGTGTTAAATAACATTCATATTTATAACTATGTGACAGCATGGACTGTATATACACACACACACTTAAAATCTTTGATTTCATAAGGGTGATTCTAGGTAAAAAAGGTGGATTTATGTATAAAAGTAGTTGCTAGAAAAATCTATCTAAAGCTTTAGAATTTAGTACTGACAAGGTCTCCATTTCTAGACCACAGAGAAAGTAAACTTGGACAATCTTTACATCAGTTAAATTGGCTCACAAGCTGATTAGCGTATTTTTTCAAGAATACGCAATTTCACTGGCAAAGGACGCAGCCACTGAGGTCTAGAGCTCACACGCATTTATACTAGAATTGGGCAGACCAACACACGATCCCCTTGGGAAGATTACTAGACTGAAGTCCACTTGTCCCTTGAAATGGCTTTCTCATCGTAGCCAGGTAGAGGGCACCCACTGCGGTTCTGTGTCAAGTTTGTTTATTAACCGCAGTAACTCTTGATATGCCTTATCAAGATCAGAATTCACAATTGCTGTATCAAAGTAGTGGCCATTGTTCTGTTCCATCTCCCTCGTCTTCTCTATGATTTCTCTCAGCTCTTCTGGCTGCAATCAAAAACAGAGAGTTAGTGTATGTGTGTAAGCCTCTTCCCCACAACAACAGATTAGGGAAAGGTAACAACTTAACTTGGAAGTCTTTTACACAAATTTTCATGGTATTGCTACCAGCTATTGAAAAGTTTACAATAACATTGAACCATGATACATACTTGAAAGCTAAGGGCACTCAAGACATTCCTTTCTGATTGGCTGTAAGTGGCAAACCAGAAAATAACTGTCCCAGACTGAAGTGAAGGAAGAAGATCTAGCAATACTCATTTTATGACATTCATCTTACTGAGGCTCTTAAACCATCTTTCTGAAAAATAAGTTAGGTTGCTACGCCCACTACCCTTCTGAAAAAGACTGGAAATGGCAGAGAGTGTGAGAATAAGTTTGAATGGTGTAGAACAAGACAACATTCCTCTGAAGATGTAGCACTACAGACACCAGCCAAAGGCAAGACCTATCATTGAAACATTTTCACCAATAAACAGCAATGAGAATCACAGTGAGAGCTATACATTTAAGTCTCAAATCACCATAGCACCAGGTAAATGACATTGCAGAAAAATGGAAAACATGATTTGGGAGCTGGAAGGGAGTATGTCAAAAGCAAGAATATTGCAGATGTAGATAAACGATACAAAGGGAGAAGTAGAAATGGTTTGTTTTACTTCAGAATTTTTTTACACTTGGATTGTGAAAGTGTGTTTGTTTTTCTCTTCTGCAGCTTATTTTTGTATTATATAAAGGAATATTCAGGTTTAATTTTCTAAAAAGGATATTTTCGAAAGGGACTTCAGGCCTTCAAGATTTTTTTCCTAGGCATTATATACACTTAAAAAAATCAAAGCCACATACAGGCATCCATGCAAGAAATACCCTTTTCTTTATCAGGGGAAGGGGTTTAACACAATAGTGTCTACCCAACTGAAATAAATACAACTCCAGTACAATTAATCAGAAAGAAAACATGCATAGTTTAACACCAACAAGTGTATTAATTTTTATTAATTAAAAATGGATTCCTTGATTACTGCAATAAAAACCCATGACATACATAAGATGAAGTATTTATGTAAAATAAAGTTTCATTCATTGCATAACCATGAAGGAAGAAACATGCGCATTTAAAGACTATTATATTTGACTCAAGCAAATGGGAAAAAAAAAAGGAAAAAAGAAAAATCCCTCTGTTTTAAGACTTGGACTTTAATGGACTTTTAGATCATACATCCAGGCAATGCATCACCCCTGCACCAAACAAGGAGAGCAAAACAACACAGCTGTAGAAGACAGTGAGGTACAATTCCTGACCAACAGCCTTATCAGGAGTCCCTTTGAGTTATGCTGGGAAGACTATTCTTTGTCAGTATGAACTGCATTATGTTCAACTAGTACTTTGCTATGGTAGCAAAGTGCTCCCACCAGCCACTGTAGGGTAGATTTCAGTTAAAAAGCTGAAGATCAACATATTTCATTATCCTAGCAATAAGCACTTGGTAGCTCATAAGCTGATAAGGACCTTTTCTGAGCTTTTCAGACATCCGGGTTTAATCTATGGGTTTCAATTACACTCTGCAGGACTAACTTCTGATTAACTAAACAAATTGCACTGGATAAGCTGAGATCTTGACAGGACTCTGGTTGAAACATGAAAAGTGATCCTACAGGATCAAGACTAAAATAACTTTATCTGAAGGGTTTTGGAATACATTTTCAAATAAATGCTTTTCCAAGTGCAGGTAAGTTCTCAAAAGAAAAACAATAATTGTTTGCTCCCTAGAATTACTCTCAGGTTTACTTGAAGACAAAGTTGGGTTTTCCACAGTTTTGAAATAAAGGGTCATACCTTTGCCCCCAATTCCAGGAACCACAACTGAGACATTGTGCCCCAGGATTATCAAATTACCAGTGGATTCCCCTGCCTCATACCTCTCACATTCTATTAGGTGAAAGCATCCTGAGCCCTTCCCTTAGTATGGTCTGCCTGCTAACCTGGAGCAGACAGATCTCAACTACACTGCTTCCCGTGTATTATCAGCAGCATTACCACCTCCCAATTCCAAACAAAGAGTATACGATTTGTTACCCAAAGCATTCCAGATCTGTAAATAAAAAGCAGCATGGTTTCAGAAGAAGTGTTAGACACATTACCTTTGGGTTTTTCCCTTCTTTGGCCAATAAAGCACGTAATCTCTCTTGCGAAGGTGGTGCAACAAATATAATATATGGCTTCAAGTCAGAATTACGTAGTGTCTTCAGTGACTGCAGAAATAGGATTTATTAAATATTTAACAGTTCCACACATGAAAAGGGCATTTAATAATGCATTGTTTACATGCTATAATTGATAATACACTCTTCAAACACAATGACAGTTGTACAATATATTAACAGCAGTATAATTAACCATAACAGTATTATCATCACCACTCACGAGTTCAGTCACCATTTCCTACAAAATTGATATTCCAACATTTTTCAGCTTCATGGAACCCAAATATTTACTTTTGTTCAAGAATATTCTTCATAACTAAACTGAAAGAACGTATCTTTTGGTATCCAAAAGCAAAAAAAAAAGTCACCTATATTGAAGTAAGTTTCCTTACAATGCATAGTTTGTCTCCTCTTTCTCCATAATCAAAAGGTCATAGCTAAAGAGCTTTTCAATATTGTTGATGTGATGTACTTAAATCCTGTCTGTTATGGAACTGCATAAACATTCCCAAAATGCAGTTTCCAAGTACAAATCACAAACAATTTCCTCTCCATATTCAAAAACCTCAGAGCTCACAGAGTAACTGGAAGACTGAGACACACAAATCTTATTTTAATTAAATTTTCAATTCAGATAGTTCTCACCAGCTCTAAGTATCTGGAAACAAAGGCCCCTATTACCTTTAGCACAGATAAAGAAGATATGTGTATTTCCAAACAAGGAATAAGAAGGTTGTATTTGTAACACACTAAATAGTTAACTGAACGCCACTGAAAGAAAGCTTGGAAAAAACATAAAAATGGAACTTGCTTTTATGTAAACCAAATACAACTCTTCAGATTTTCACTGTAGCTTCTACAATTAAAATATGACAGGCAACAGATTTGCCATACCTGTGTATGCAGATTTAAAAGGCATATCTTGCCGGAGTTGATTACTTGCCGCACAGAGTCTATGCTAGTGCCATAGAGGTTCTTTTCAAACTCTCCATATTCAATGAACTTCCCTGCAGCTATGTCACTCTCAAATGCCTGTCGGGAAATGAAATGGTAATCCCTGCCAGCTACTTCAGTCTCTCGCCTGCTCCGAGTAGTATCTACAAACAAGAGCAACAAAAAAGGGAAATCGAGACAGTGATACACATGTAGAACTGAAGAGGAGAAATAGGTATTTCTCTTAGGAGAGACATTGCTAACCAAGCAAAAAAAGGCATTTGAAATATCCAAGAAATGCAAATATTTTATTTTCTACAATAAGTATCTGTGGACAGATTAAGTTGGTAAAGGCTGAACCTACATTTAGAGGTCCTGCTTATGTTGTCTAGAGGAAAAAAAGATAGTCAACAAGGAAAGGAATCGTTTCACCTGTGTAGCTGCATTCTGAATGTGTAAAGAGCTATTAGTGGTTTATAACAAGTTATATCATTAAGCTGCTTTTAAACCTAATTTAGGGTACATTAGATAGCAAAAATATAAAATTCACTGAAATATAAGTGGTTTGGGAAGGCACTAAAGCCACCTAAATTTAAATTTATGCAGATGCAGGATATGTAGGTTAAAAATTCTTTGACTGATGTACCAGTTTCTTTTTTAAACTTCTGTAACTCCAATTTTATTCAAACTGAAATATATGCATGTCTTATAATGCCTCTATAACACTGTGTTGGGACACTGGATTTGCACTGACTTCCCAAAGCTACTTTTTGCCACACAAGATCTAACTTTCTTTATCCTTTATCCAAGAGCTGACTATATCCTGCTCAAAACCCCCAAACTCCTAATTGCTATTTTCAACACAAGAGGATTTGTCTGCAGACAGTGTTTAGAATAAGCAATCGTATCTGCCCGTCAAACTTACGAGGAACTGCAGAGGCAAAGCGATCCACTTCATTATTCATAAGTCGTTGCCGCAATTCGTTCTGGCCGCAGTTCTGTGGGCCGATCAGAACAATAGGCCGTTTCCTATTTGCTGGTTGATGATACAGTGACATTTCCTCATAGGTCAAAATTTCCTCATTGTCATAATCTTGAGAGAGAAACAATAAAATAGCCAAAATATACTTTGCTGCTAGTTCCATGTATTGCCTGTCATGCGGTATCAAGTTTCAGGCAGCTCCTGACTCTGCCCAGCATCTAACTGCAAGTCACCAAAGCAATAAAACCCCAAAGATTATCACTTGCCCCGTAAGATGAGGCTTTTTTCCCCCCTTTCTGGAGAATGAAAATGTGTTTCCACTTACTACTGATATAAGTAGTAGCATAAACTCAGGCAACAACTTTCTCACCACGGAACAAGTTTATAGTACAAGAATAATACTTAATGCCCAACAACAAAAAAAATCATCATCCCAATCCCAAAGTACCTTTGTAAAAATATAGTATAAATAGCCTACAAACTCTCTGTGGAAAAAGTTTCCATTTACTAAAATTATGCAGAGTGAGATGATATTACAAACCCATAATAAATTGGTTCACAATTGTAAAATTGTGAGTGCTTCCATGCCTAAAAGCTATCTGTTTTTTTACCTCTATCATCTGGTCTTTATGAAAGACTCTAGATGACCCTACAAATTCTGCCACCTCTTTTACATCTTTCACTAAATGCTATTACAAACCATACTACTGCTCCCAAACGGAACATCATCAGGCAGTATTTGTAACACCATATCCTGAATTTCAGCGTTCTTTCACAAGGCTATTTGTAGAATCTTATAGTGGCTTATAAGTGCACACTCTATGCAGAAGATGTTGCTTACCATCATTTTTATTTGCATTGTATAAAACCTTTTTCCGTTTCTTTTTGTTTTTCTTCGCACACCAGAGCTTTCCTAACCAAAATAAAAATCATCACAATCAAATACCCATACAGTAAAAAGCTTCCTACCCCACCCGCTATCTGGATCTTTAAAGTGGAGACTTTATTCTGCAGTTTTGATAAGGCATAATATTCTTCAGTTCATTACAACAGTTTGGTGTATTAAGCAAATGTTGCATGCCAAGGACTTCAACTGAGTCATGGCAGATAAAATTAAGAAAAAACAGGGCTTTCCAAATTCCCCTACATCATCCTAATTACATTGCACATAGTTATGAAAAAAATGTGATTCATACAACAAAGTCCTAAATTCAGACCTGTATTTACATGAAGAATTTCAAAGAATCATTCCACTCGTATTATAAAAAACGGAAGAATTTTCTACAGCTCTACAATGACAAGGTTCCAGGTATCTATTAGCACCTCTGTAAGAGTTAGATTCCCCCCGCTCCCACTTGGAAAGAATATATTGAACCTGATTTTTCTGGCTCCTTGTCTTCTTCTATAGTTTGCTTCATTGCTTCTCTTTGTTGCTGAAAACTTTTTCCTTAATGCATTTTAAAAAAAGTACAAAAGCAGTTAACATTTAGAAACCATTTCCATACTCATTTTACTTTTTCCTAAGCTTTTACGTCTCTGAAGGTTCTAGCAGAATATGACATATAAGAGAAACTTAAAAAGATAAATTAAAATTTAAAAAGAGAAACTAAAATTGCTGCAGAGCTTGTTTATTGCTTCAAAAATATATTCATCAAGAAAGACTTGCAGAGCATTTGTACTATTCTGGACAGTTTTGCTTGGAAAATTGAAACTATTGGAAAGAAACTACATTTCCTCACTATCATGATATGGTTTTCTAATTATTTTTGTATGTTAAACATGTTCTATTTATAGTAAATCTTTTGAACTTCAGCTTGAAAAAGATTAGCCTACATTTAAATCAGTGTTCCTCTCAACTTACTCAAATGTCAAAGTAACAGTGTGATATTCTATGGAATTTGAAAAGTCTTTTGTTCACTGTGTTTAACAGATCAGCAGATGTTTAATGGACTAGACTGCAGTATGTATTTCAATGCAAAAATTATATACTGACTTCAATGTCTGAAAGCCCTACTACTCAAAGGCCCCCAACAGTTAGAAAGGAAGCATGACCGTTACAAGTAACTGAAGCTCTTTGCTAAGTGAAAACATACAGAAGAGTTACCACAAAAAACGGACAGATTTTTCAAATATACTACTCGATATAGCATGAAACCTAACAGCTGCTCTCATCTCCAGAGAACAAGGCGGCTGAAGTCCCACGTTTCTGCTGTAGCCAGCAGAGGGAACTCTGAACCCACACAGTCCCCAAGGTGGAGGAATAAAGGAAGAGGAGAGTAGCTCTTGAAAGGTAAACTGCAGTGGAAATGGTAGCTTTACTCTGCATTTAACATCTATACATGGAGATGTCTCTCAGAGGTCAACCTTTTAAGTAAGTGAATTACATAACCAACAGTAGGCTCTGCTACAAAAGGTTCAAAGTCACCGATGTTTAAAGCAATGGATATTTAAGGGTATATGAGTCTTTGAAAACCAGAATATTGCCCCTATGGCTATGGGAATAACTGGTTGTCAAGATTTTTCTAGAGCTTTGCTTACCAGGGATAAGGCCTGCCAATGGCTGATTATCTTCATCTCCATCTCTGTAAGCCTGCCACCAGTTTGGATCTTCTTGGCTAATCACATGGAGTATATCTCCTTTTTGAAAAGATAGGCCTAACTCTCGGCAGGGGACATAAGGGTCATCAGAGGGATCATAGTCAAAATGTGCTTTCACATGTATCTGTGGAAGATCCAATGTAAAAACAGAGGAAAAAAAAAAACCTTGTGACTTCTGAAGAATTACACCCATCTTCCTGTGACTGCAGTGGAGCTCTGATATATAAAAACACCAAGATCCTATCAAATGGAAACTTTATTGGGGGCATACAGGAGATACTGGAATGGAATCATTACCCAGCTTAGCAATGGAAAAGACACAGTTGTGCTAGGTTGAAGACGAAGGCCTGAATTTAACTCTTGTTAATTCTAAAGTCTATGCAGTTTCCTCACCATTTTAGGAAGCAAAAACCCCCGAGCTACTATTTAAGTTCTTTGCATTCAAAAAGTATCAGAGATATTCTGATTTGTTTAAAATACCTAATACACACAGACTGAAACCCATTTGCTGGGCTTTAGGTGAAGTTTCACTTGTAAAATATTTTACTTTGTCACCAACCATTAATGTTTTTGCTTGGCTATGATATAAATCTGTGCATTCTTTCTTCAAACTGTTAAAAGCTGTCTCAAGAGAAGTATGTTGGCTAAAGGGATAAATGAACAAAGTTTCCAGTATACAAACTTTTCCTCCCAAAGCATATTTGCAAGTTCCATCAATCTAATTTTTTTTAT